GCAATGGATATTCAATCAGTGTTCCAGATGATGCTGGAGAAATGGAGACGCCGACTCAGCAGGACTCCAGGCTCCTTGGAGGAAAGCCCACAGCTTCCTGACAAAGGCAGAGCAGATTCCTGCCCACCTTACCAGTCCACAGGGCTGTGGCTTTTGAGTCCAAGTGAGACCTTGTTATTTCCCCAAGTCCCAGGACAACCTCAAATTATGCAGAGCTAAAGCCTTGCCATGAACTTGAGGTGGGTCCCGACAGCTCTCTGTAGAGCTTACTCTCAATGGGCATCCCATGGAAAAGGTGGGGCTCCCCTTCATGTGCAAGGCATACACTGTGGCTCTATCCTTCTGTAGTGGGGTGAACTGTGTCCTCGCAGGAAGATAATTCCGTGACTAACTGCCGTTGCCTGGGAATGTGGAAATAGGACCTTTGCGGATGTAACCAAGTTGAGCTCATATTGAAATATGGGGCTCCTGAATCCAATGAGTGGTGTACTGAGAAGGACAAGAAAATTTGGACACGGACACTCAGAAGAGAAGGAAGGCCATGCGAAGACAGAGGCAGAGGTTAAAGTGTCCACAAACCAAAGGATGCCAAGGACTGCCAGCAGGCACCAGGAGCTGGAAGAGGTAGGAAGGATCCTCCCCTTTGAGGCTTTGGAGGGAATATGGCCCAGCAGGTACCTTGATTTTTAGACCTCTAGCCTCCGGAAGGGTGAAGGAATGCATTTCTGTTGTCTTAAGCCACCTAGTTTGTGGTGCTTTGCTGTGGCAGCTCTTAGAATCTCACCCACTCTCTCAGCAAGAAATTGAAATCTCCCCCCTGGGCATCCCTTGGGATGTGGCATCTGTGAACCCTCCAACCCCATACTAAGGATGTGGTTGGGCTCTCCTATTGTATTCCCTACCATGCCAAAGTCTTCTTTGCCCCAGTGCCTTTGCACATCCTGTTCCCTCTGCCTAGAGCACTACTTCCTGCTCTTAGATATTTTGTTAAGTTTGGGACTATGGTAGAAAAAAAAACCTTACAAACAAACAAGGAAACAAAATCTAGAGCCACTAAGCTGAGCCACTTGGCTGATTAGAAGTCAGATATCTAATCTTGCACCTGCGTCTCCTTAGCTATGAGACACTGGTCAAGCCGTTTTCTACCTTGGGTCTCAGTTTCTGCACTCAATCTTCCTTCAGTCCCTCCCCCTGCTCCTGCTGGCTTCAGGGCCTTTACATGGGTTGCTCTCTCAGCTTGGAATGCTTGGCCTCTGCTTGGTCAGACCTCACCCAGGAACTCTCCAAGTGCCAAGAACCCATTTGCAATTGCACACTGGCTTGTAAGGTTAAAGGGGACAACCTGTCTCTGCCCCAGACTGGGAGTGCCCCATGAGGGCAGCTGTCTTGTTCTCCATATGTCCCCAGCATCTTGCGCAGGATCTGGCGTACAGTCAGTGCAGATCATTAGAATGAATTAATGTAGGAAACAGGCAGTTTTCTCCCAGACTGCCCTCAGCTCAGACCCCATAGGAATCTACAGAAGGGCAGGAAGTGAAGGAAGAGGCTGCAAGACAATGGCGGCAGGAGGGGGCTGTGGACACAGGGCAAGTGCTCCAACACCCAGCGAGAAGCTTGAAGATGCCCCAGGAAGGGCTCGCTGAGCTGGAGGGAATAGAATTGTGGGTTGTCTGGCACTAGACAGAGGCGCTTATGTTGAGATGCAGCTGGACGTAGCATCAAGGAGCTGCACTCGTTTCTTCCGGAATGAGGAAGACAGAAGCCTTGGCAAAGCCAGGCATACAACCCAGGGCTGCACAGCAAGGCCACTATCTTGAAAACACTGAGCTACTAAAAAGGGAGGGGGATCCTGTGCAGCTGGGGGAAACTCACTTGGAATTCACATTTGCAGCTGCTGCCAGCCCCACTTTTGTCTCCAGGATGCTTGAGAGAGGGGCTAGCTTTTAAAATACTTGTGGGGGGTGCACACAGATGAAGAAACTGCACTGAACAAGATACAAGGAACAATACTGAGAATGACAATGACTTTGGGCAGCCTTCATCATTTACACAGTCCCATATGCCTCCTTGTGTTCTCACAACTTCATGAGCCAGGGATGATTGCTCCTATTTTACAGAAAGGAAAGCTGAGGTACAAAGATGCTCAGAGTCGCCCAAGGTGGCCAACCAAGCCTGTTGGGGTTTGAATCAGAAGGTTCTCAAAGTCCAGACCCAGGACTGCTTTGGGCTCAGTGGAGGCCAGAGAAGACCCCTTGGAACTCTGGGTGTTCAGTGCTGGAAGGAACCTACCAAAATCAGGTTCTACCTTTTACATGGGAAGAAATAACGCCCCACCACCACCACCACCAACACCAGGAGCAAGTGCCTGCACTCAAAGCCAGTTCTTGTCCATTTTAGAGCATCTTTAACTACCAGGACTTCCTGGCTGGAAAATGATCCTTTATTTGCCCAAACTGCCAAGTCTGGGTGCTGCGAGAGCCCTTAGCCAGGCATTAGCACTCCCTGTCTTACAGAGTTGAAGAGAAAGATTTATAGGGGGGAATGTGGAGAGAAAAGAACATTCTAAAGGTGAAAGGACAGGAGGTTGGCCCCAACGCAGCAGCCATTGTATTCCTGGAAGACGATGGTACTGGGTAGACAAGAACTTCCCAGCTCTTCTGAGAATCAGCACCTCTTGCTATAAAGAAGCACACATACGTGTGCAAAGCGTGACTGGAAATGACTAGCTTCGGGAGAGGGCTAAGTTCAAAACTCAATGGGGCTGATACCCTCCACTGGCAGCTTCTACTTGGAAGCAGTTGATAGGAAGTGCGGGACCTCTCCCACCAGTCCGGCTTTTGACCGGCACTGGTTGTATAAAGCATATATTGGACTATTTGAGTCCACATATTTTATGCTGCACTCAGACCTGCATCCCCTTCATGTCTGGTGTTTATCAACCTAGTCACTGCCCTCAGTGCCCTCGCCAGCTGGTATTTCTGGAGGTGGAGATAGTCTTCAAAGTCTCTTTTCCAGGGTGAACACGTACGATCCCTCTGACTATTCCTTCCCAGATGGTTATGTAAGGAACTCTTGGGCATCATCTCCTGGGGGTAAAGTCCTTGCATTAAAGGAGGAAGGAGATGAGTGGTTGTATGCAACCAATAAAGTAGGAGAGCCTGTGCTGAAGACGTTTTCTCTTACGCAAGCAAGCAACGCCTCGCTGGAGGAGAAGAGGGAGGGAGAGGCTCGGTGGCTCACTCATATCAGCTGTGGATGCTCAGGGCTTTCTTCCTACTAAGTTTTTATTCCTTCCAGTGATTGTCATTCATTCACCCTGTCTATTGAGCACCAACTGTATGCCAGGCTCTGTCCTCATGCTGGCATGAAGCAGTGGTCAAACCAAAGGCCCTTGCTCTTGTGGGGTTCCCTTTGGGAGAAAATAGAATTTAAACAAGATAAATATAAAAATATTTATGCTCTGGTTGGTGTGGCTCAGTGGATTGAGAGCTGGCCTGTGAACCAAAGGGTCGCCAGTTCCATTCCCAGTCAGGGCACATGCCTGGGTTGCGGGCCAGGTCCCTGGTGGGGTTGTGCAAGAGGCAATCACACATTGATGATTTTCTCCCTCTCCTTCCCCCTCCCTTCCCCTCTGTCTAAAAATAAATAAATAAAATCTTAAAATATGTATATATTAGCAAAGTAGATAGTATGAGTCTCCTACAGCTGCTGTAACAAATTATCACAAACTTAGTGGCTCACCCCAACACAAATGTATTCTTTTATGATTCCAGGAGCCAGAAGTAAGTCTAACATCAGTTTCACTAGGCTGAAAGCAAGGTGTAAGCAGGGCTGGTTTCTTTTGGAGGCTCCAGGGGAGAATCTGTTTTCTGCTTTTCCCAGTTTCCAGACGTGTTTGCATCCCTCGGCTCACGACCCCTTTCTCCCATGACTCCAGTCTGTTACCTCCATCACCATAGCTCCTACCTCTGTAGTTAAGACTTCTCTGTCTCCCTCTTATAAGGCCCCCTGTGATAATCCTGAGGACCCACTCGAATAATTCAGGATCATCACCTCATTTTGAGATCCTTAACCTAGGATCTCATCACCTGGCTGGATGGCTCAGTTGGTTGGAGCATCATCCTGTGCACTGAAAGGTTGCAGGTTTGATTTCTGGTCACGGCACATATGTAGGTTGCAGGTTCAATCCCTGGTTGGGGTGTGTATGTGAGGCAACTGATCAATGTCTTTCTCACCCCCATCCTCTCTCTCTAAAATCAATAAAAACATATCTTTGAGTGAGGTTTTTAAAAAAAGGCCCTTAAATTAATCACATGCGCAAAGTGCCCTTTCCATTAAGGAAACATTCTCAGGTTCCAGTGGTTAGGATGTAGATATCTTTGGGTGCCATTATTCAGGAACTGGGGGGGGGGGGTAATGAACTGGCCAGGAGGCCCTCTCTGAGCAGGTGCCCTCTGGGCAGAGACCTAAAGGAGGTGAGGGAGGCATGGATCTTTGGGGAAAAGTGTTCCAGGCAGAAGGAACAGGCAGTGAAAAATCAGAACGTCAGAAGCAGCTGGGCATGGGGAAGGAAGCCACAGGAGTTGGAAGGGTGTGAAACAGACAGAGTGATGAGAGTGAGCTCAAAGAAGCAGGTGGAGGTTGAACTTGGCTTCCCTGTGTGACAGACATTTGCCCCAGGGGGTTAAGCAGGGTATGACGCAGTTCCTGTGGCTGCTGCAGGTAAAAATATGCTGTCACCTAGATTTGTGGGAACCCAGGTAAGACTATCGTAATAGTCCATGAGATGTGTTTACAAGAATGTTTAGAATTCTTAAAATAGTGTGGAAATGAGAGTTTGGGGAGAGGGCAGGGGGTAAGGTAGAAATCAATCTTAAATAATGCAGCAAATATTCATTATGGGCCTGGCCTGTTCAACTGGCAGTGTCACCTGCTCCCCGCCTTGGAGAAGTGCCACTCTCTCCCCGCACGGCTTGCCTGGAGACCCCGGGGGGCTGTACCTGGGAAGATCTTCATCCTGCCATTCATCCTTCACATCCACGTTTTCCATCCGGAGTGTGGCTTCTGTTGTTCCCATGGGATCTGGGAAGAGGCACCAGCCTTGAAGCAAGGATGATTTCTGAAGGAGAGCAATGGATGGAGGTTTTACTGAACAATCATCATAATAACAACCTTTCACCCATGTGCAGCATTTTAGATCCATCTGCAAAGAGCTTGTGCAGCCACTGTTGTACGGAATCATTGCCCAGCTCTAGGAGGCTTCCCATTTCACAGGTGAGGAAACAGAGGCAGAGAGAACTAAGAACACCCATGTGGGTCTGGAGTGTGAAGCCATGTGAGAAGCTGAAGCTCCAGCTATAAGCCCTCCCCACTAAAGTTCTGAAATACACCTTCCCCAGGGCTCCCCATCTCTCCATTATTTTGGACTTCAACTGGGAAGCCATAAAGCTATTAAACTCATTTATACTAAAGTGTCGATGACTGATATACTTAAGCTTCCTTGCTGGAATTGACCTGGTCAATCCCACCCCCCCTCCGTCTGCTCCAGGCCACCTGCTCTGCACCTTTATCCTGTCTCCCCCCACCCCAAAGAAGCAAGTCCTAACAACTTGCTGACCTGAGGGCTAATGGAAGCACTGTGGAAAGTGTCTGGGGTTGGAAGTCAGGATCATAATTATTACCAACCAAAAAATGTCAGTTTTGTTTTTATTATCCTAGAAGCTGGCTAGGGGCAGGGGTGGGGTGGCCACGGCATTCTAGATGATGGCTTAAGTACTGGGCTGTCTGGGGGCAGAGTCAGCTGTTGGGTGAGATTAAGTTTGGATATACCCCAGCACAGGGCAGACTTTCAGACCATTCATCCCTCCAGGCCTCAGTTTCCCCATCTGTAAATGAAAGAGTTGTGCTAGAAATAATCTCTGCGATACCTTTTGGGTATAACTTTCCAGGATTTTATGACTCAACTGTCAGCACAGGTTCTGTGGTTTTAAGCCAGTGGCTCTCCACTGGGGGCAATCCTGTACCCCCACACAAACCCCATCCCCAGGGGACACTTAGAGTCAATGTTTGGAGGCATTTTGATTGTTACAACTGGAGTGGGGTTCTCCTGGGAGTAAAAGGGTAGGAGCCAGGGATAATTCTCAACACTCCACAGTGCCCAGGGTGCTATGACCTGGCTCCAGACGTCTGTAGATCTGAGACTGACAAACCCCGTCTTAATCCGCAGGTTTGTGAAAGGACTTCAGGCATGGGTTTGGCTGTCCTTATAGAAGGCCTACTGTGTCATTGCACCCCATCCTTCCGTCCTCCACACAGGTCCTGCCGTGTTATCCTCACCCGCCAGCATCTAAGGTCCCTGCCTCCAGCCAGCCCTTCACCTTCCCTGATACCAGCTGTTCCTCTGTAGAGCTGGTGCATGGCCCACAGTTCGGGTGTGATAGCCAAAGCCCTGCCCGCACTGGACCACAGGCCCTGGAGAGGATAGGTCTGCATTTGGGACCCTGGCTCAGAGAGGGAGGACCCAGAAGGAGCAGAGACAGGTGAGGAGGCCAGGCAGGGAGGCAGAGGGTGGCTAGGATTAGAACCCCTTCCCTACTGCTGTGAGAGTTTCTCACTTGCTTCTTTTCACTGGCCTCAATGTCGTCATTCATTCATGGAGGAGGGACAGTGAGACGCAATACGCCAAAAAAAAAAAAAAAAAAAAAAATCCCTTCCTGGCAGCACAGGCAACCGCCACCACCCAGAACCTTACAGCAAGTGGAAGTTCACATCAATGCAAATCGTTTCCTATCTAAAGGGAGTGGTCTTTTGTGTCCGTTTTCCTCATCCTGAGTTGGGTGTGAACTCAGCCCCCAGGAAGGACCCCCCCCACACACACACACATCGCGGACAGCCTAAACCCTGGAGCCACACATGTCACCCCAAGATCCTCCAAATGTGGGTGTGGGTAGGCTCCCCATGTGCCCCATCCACTCCCATTCTCTGTCCCCGACTTCACGTTTGAGAATGGCAGCTAAGGCAAAGGATGGGACAGCTGAGAAGTGTCCCTTTGCATTGAGATGCTGGATCACATTCAAGTTCAGATAGAGAAGGAGGAATCTGTCTTCAACCATCATCTCCCTTCCTCCCAACCCAAAGGCAAGCCTTTATGTACACATCTCTCAAACCCTCTTTCCGGATCGCTCCCGCTGTTATAAATAGGAAAGGCACGGAGGTGGGACGTGGACATTTTGGTCTCTTAGGAAGCGTCCCAGAGAAGGGCTCAGGGTTTTATCTGCCTAATCTCCAAACACGTCCTGAAAATCGTGCGATTCTCTGCTTCCAGGTGAGCGGTGGGCATGGGAGGGGAACTGTAGGTGTGACTGCCAGCGGACGCAAAAATGGGTGGGTTCCCACCCAGAGAGTCACAGGACTGGGGTTCTCCGCCGCCACCAGCCCCATCAGCCAGGAGGGGGTTTGCAGTGGCAGATACCTGGGGCACCCTTCCTAGGCAGGGGAGGGAGAAGGGAAGGTGGACTCACCTCCGCGGTGAGTGCTGGTTACCTCCGCGACCTCTCCTGATTAGGCGCAGACAAAGGCGAACCCCGCGCGGCTGCTGCCCGGCATCCCTGGTGTTCCGAGCGGGTCCCCGGGCCTTCGGAGTAACAGAAGATGCGCGCAGGGGTGGACTCTGCATCCAAGCAAGGTCACCCAGAGCAACGCGGCCGGCGCAGAGGGGCGCTTTTGTCTGAGGGTGGGGAGCGGTTCGCAGCTAGCTGTCGGCTCCCTCTCGCTCCGTGGCAGCTGCGTCCCCTGTCATCGTCGCAGCCTGTGCCTCTAAGGTATTTTCCTCTTTCCAGCTCGCAGCTGTCGGAGGCTCGGCTTCCTTAAGATGGTTAATTACGCTGCTTTTGTGTGCGGGGTGGGTCGGTGGGGGCAGGGCTGACCAAAAAGCACAGCCCCCTGCCAGAATCCGGGCCTCTCCATTGGCTGGGAGGGAGCATTTCCAAGCGCCTTACCAGCGGCAGAAGCGGAAATGATTTTCTGGTGGCGCATCACAGATTTAAAAAACAAAACAAGGAACAAATAAATAAATAAATGGTGGCGATGGCCTCATTTCTGCGATTAAGAGGGAAGAAGGGAGGAAACGATCACCTCAGGACCCCATTTCACCGGTCCCTCAGCCGGCCGCTCCCTGCTGATGAGGCCGTGCGCCCACGACCCGGGTGGATGCTGGGGAGAATCTCCCCGGGTACACTTGCTCAGAGCCGCCGAGGGGAAGGCGCTGCCTGCCGTTGTGCACTTCGGTGACCCTGCCCTGGAGGACTCCGGGAGGGCAGTAGAATGGTGCAAAGTTGACAGCGAAGCCTCTGAAATCAGACCAGAAGTAGGTTTGAGCCTTGGCTCAGCCTCAGTTTCTTCATCTGTGAAATGGGAACATGGTTCTTGTGTTCTGGCAGTAAATGAGATAACACACTGAGAGCTTTTCACTTGGAGCAGGAGCACGAGAAAGGCTCTGTACATATTTCTTGCTTACTGTTTTTATTTTTAGACCTGTAGGTTGACTAGTGTCTTGCGTGCCCCCCCGTCCCCCCTAAAAAAGATATGGCCATGTCCTAACCCCTGAATGTGTGCTTGTTTGTAAAAAGAGTCTTTGAGATGGAATTAAGTTAAGGATCTCCAGATGAGATCATCCTGGGTTTAGGATGAGCCCTAAATCCGATGGTAAATGTCTACAAGAGAAGAGAAGGGAGAGGACACGAGAGGAGCGCGCCACGTGCCAGTGGAGGCCTGGAGTGGATTCTCCCTCCCAGCTTCCGGGAGAAGTCAGCCCAGCCAGCACCTTGATTTTGGACTTCTGGCCTCCAAAACTGTGAGCGAGTACATCTCTATGGTTTTGAGCCCCCTAGTGTGTGGTACTTTGTTGTCAAAGCCCCAGGAAACTAATACACGACCCTAAGTAGGAACTGATGCTTATTCTTCTCTCTGGCCCCCTCATCACTTCGGTGGTTTCTTGCCTCTTCTGTGGACACGTCAGGTTTATTCCCAGCACAGGTTGTGTTGCATGTGTTGCGCCTTCTGCCAGGAACGCTCTTCCCACAAATGTTCACTTTATTCAGGTGTCAGCTCAAAAGAAATCTCCTCAGAGAGGCCTCCCCTTACCACCCACATCACCCTCTATCCCATTGCTCAGTCTGATATTTTAAAAAATATTTTATTTACTTATCTTTAAGGGGAAAGGGTAGGAGAGGGGGAGCGAAATATCAATGTGTGGTTGCCTCTCGTGCATCCCCTGCTGGGAACTGGCCTGCAACCCCGGCATGTGCCCTGACTGGGAATCGAACCGCGATACTCTGGTTTGCAGGCCCGTGCTCAATCCACTGAGCTACACCAGCCAGGGCTCCGTCTGATATTTTAAGTATATATTTTTTAAATTGTGGTACAATACACATAAAATTTGCCATTTCAATCATTTGCAAGGATACGGTTCAGTGGCGTTAAGTACATTCACACTGCTGTGCAACCGTCCCCATTATGTAGCTCCAGAACTTTTTTTATCACCCTAAATGGAAATCCCACCCCAATGATGCTCTCCCTCAAGCCCCTTCCTCAGCCCCTGGCACCCCCAAATCCACTCTCTGTCTCTGTGGATGTGCCTGTTCTGGACATTTCACATAAATGGAATAACACACTATACGGCCTTTTGTGTCTGAAGCCACGCTCCTCTCACTGAGCATGATGTTTTCAAGTTTCATCCACACATAACATATTTCAGCGTTCCAGTCCTTTTCATGGCTGAGTAATATTCCAGTGTGTGGATGGACGGCATCGTGTTTATACACTTACCAGTGGTTGGACACTTGGGCTGTTTCTACGTTTTCGGGTATTGTGAATAGTGCTGCTATCCACATGGGTGTATATGGACTTATTGGGAAATGCAATGATTTTTTTCACAGTACTTCCCACTATTTGAAATGACTTACTTGTTTCTTGTGTGTTTGCTGACCTCCCCTGTCCCTTATTAGACTATAAATTTCAAGGGAAATGAGACTTAGCTGGTCTTGTTCACATAGATGTTCTCTGCAGAGGACAGCCACACCTGGCACAAAGGAGTGTTTGGGGAATGCAGGCAGAATGTGTGAATGATGGTTCTGGTTGTGGATACCACACAACCAGATTGTGTGGCTCTGATTGTGTGGATGCCTCCATCACAGCATCAGGATATGCACCCCTCCAAACCAAAGGCACAAAAGCACCGCCCCACAGGAGAGGGGGATGAGGCCCCAGAGCCTCCAGCACAAGATCTGGACTTTGCACTTCCTAGATAGCAGAAGTATAGCTCTGGAAAGAGACCTTTGTGTTAACTAAATAGGAAATCCAGGCCAGTTCTGTGCTGGTCACTGGGGTTCAAAACGCAAATAAGACTTTGCTTTCACAGGACTTCCGTTTTGAAAAACAGATGGGCAAAGGACTCGGGGCTGGTTTAGAGACATCTTTGAAGCAGAGTGGCTGGGGGGGATGAATGGGAAGATTTTCCGTGGTGGTGGTGATATGAGTTAGACACCGAGGATTGAGTACGAGTTGGGTGGATGGAGAAGTGAGAGGGAGGCATTCTGGACGGAGAGAGGGCTGTTCGAAAATCCAGGCCTTTCTCTCAAGAGAGGGAACTGGGAGCTGTCCGTGGTGCTGCACCACCTCTCCGGAGCCCAGCGGGAGAACCAAGCTTGGCGCTTGCCTGGTGTATTTTAAATTGCAGTTAAAATATGCATAATATGAAATTTACCATTCTGATCATTTTAAGCGTAATGAGAAGTGGCATTATTACATTCACAAAGTGCAAACCATCCCCACCATCCACCTCTCGAACTTTTTCATCTTCCCAAACTAAAACTCTGTCTCTGTTAAATACTAACCCCCATTCCGTTCCCCAGTCCTCCATAATGTAAGCTTCTTGAAATCAGAAACATCGCAGTTTGTTAGTGTTGAAGCTCTAATTCCTAGACCAGTGTTTATTACTGGAAAGCAATTCAGCTTTCACCCCTCACCCCTAGGACATTTGGTGATGTCTGGGGACATTTTTTGTTATCACACCTTGGGGGATGTGAGTGATACTGGCATTGAGTGAATAGAGACCAGAGATGCTGCTCAACACCCTACAGTGCACAGTCTAGACTGTTAACCATCCACCCAGACTGTTTCCTTTTCGGGGTTTATTTAGTGCTATGCTTTTGCATTTTTGTTCTTGTTGGTGATTTTCCTCTTTATAATGGCCCGCACGCATGGTGTTGAAGTGCTGTCTAGCATTTCCAAGCACAAGCAGGCTGGGTTGCACCTCACAAAAAAGATATGAGTATTAGATAAGCTTTGTTCTGGCATGGGTCATAGTGCTGTGGGCTGTGAATTCAGTGTTAAGGCATCACGATGTACATTTAATAAGGTCTCTTTAAGCAAAACATAGACGTAAAACAAGGTGATGTACTGACCATTTGATGAAAATGTTGTGACCAGAGGCACACAGGAACCCAACCTTGTATTTCCCCTAGGAGCAGTGCTTCAGTGTTTGATGTTAAGTGTTTGCACCGATTTTAGAGAACAGAACTGCCATCGATAATGAGAACTGACTGTATTTATTTCCGAGGACTATTGTGAGGACTAGGTAAGATTGTGCAGGTAAAGCATTTAGCACATGTAATCCAGGGAAAACAATTAAAACAGCCCTGCTTTTGTAAAAAGCATGCAGCTTTCATTATCTAGTTAGAGCTACAGAGAACTGGAGGGAGGCCATGGGTAATTACCACGCTGGACTTTAGCCCATTCATGGCAGGTGAGCTGTGTTTGGCAGACTCTGTAGATTATTGCCTGAGGGCATACATGGTCATAAAAACACAAATGGAAGAATGCCACCAGCTAAATCACCCATAAGGCTTTCCTTGGTATCCTGGGTTAGCCATGTTTCTGTCCAAGAATTAAGTAGCCTCCTGACTGCTTAAGTTAAGGGGCAAAAGAACAAACACCACTCCATCACAGTCAGTAAGTGTACTTTTGGGGGGTCCTTTTAAAAGTTAAATTTTAAAAATTTGGACTAATCTTATTTTGGTCTTTAAATGCTTTGTTTGTTTATTTATTTTTAGACAGGGGGAAGGAAAGGAGAAAGAGAGGGAGAAAAATCATCAGTGTGTGGTTGCCTCTTATGCACCCCCGACTGAGGACCTGGCCTGCAACCCAGGCATGTGCCATGACTCGGAATTGAACCAGAAATCCTTTGGTGTGCTGGCCAGCACTCAATTCACTGAGCCACACCAGCCAGGGCAAAAATTTGGACTAATTTTAGAATCACATATGGTTGAAAGAAATAACACAGAGAGATCCTGTGTATCCTTTCCACCCATGTTACCCAATGGTAACATCTTACAAAAATTATACAATAGTACAATATCACTATTGCTTTTGATAGTCAAGATTAAAAATATTTCCCTCACCCCAGGATCCCTCATGTTGCCATTTTATAGCCACTTCCATTCCCCACGTCCTTAACCCCTGGAAATCACAAATATGTTCTCCATTTTTAAAAATAATTTTGACCTTTCGAGAATTGTATGTAAACCAAACAATTAGTATGTAGCCATTTGGCATTGGCTTTTCACTCAGCATAATCCTTTAGAACTTCAACCGAGTGGTGTGCATATCAAGAGTTTCTTTCTCTTAACTGCCAAGTATTCCATTGTTATGAAATGTCTAGAACAGGCAAATCCATATACAGTGGACAAAGCAAACTAGTGATTGCCAGAGGCTGGGGGAGGGGAATGGGAAGTGACTGCTAATGGGTATGGGGTCTCTTCCTGGGGTGACCAAAATGTTCTGGAGTTAGTGGTGAGAGTGGCACAACCCTGTAAAGGCACTAAAAATCATTGAATTACACACCTTAGATGGGTGAATTGTATGGTATGTGAACTACATCTCAATAAAGTTGTTATTCACCCAAAATTACCATACTTGCAATTAATAGTTTGGTTATGATTTGCTTTCCTGATCCTAAGTTCCCGAGAACTGGTACCATGTCAGTGTGGCTAATTGCTGCGCACCCCAAGGTGGCCTGGCCTGCATCTACCAATGGTTGCTGGCACCAATCCAACAGCAACAGGAATCCCCAATTAGGGTGTAGTGAAGAAGGAAACTATTTGGTTCAAAACAGCTCAACTGTTACAGTGTGGCTGTGAAAACAGCACAGCTGTGAGACAGCCCTAGAGCCAGGCCTCTCCCTAGCTAGACAGTTCTGCTGTGCTTACTGGGGTGCCCAGCGAGACACCAGAGTGTTTTTACCCCAGCCAGAGACCACCTCTTGAAGAAAGCAAACGTACATTCTCTGAGCTAGAAGGGAGGTGGGTTATATGGACAAAAGTTCCCGCCCCAGATCCCCAATTGGTCTGTCCTCATGCTAATGAGGACTCCAAATCCTCAGTTTAATTGGTCCAAAAGGCACTGTCTTAATTGGTCAGAATAGAGACACCCTGTTCGTCAGAGCTGGGCAGCTCCAATTGGATGGGGAAAGCCTCAGTCCTATTGGTTGATGTAGGATTCCAGGAACTCCTTGATAAGGCCTCGCTCAGCTGACAGAAATAATGCAGGCAGTTTGTTCAACGCAGGGTGGGTGGTATAGTCCAGGCCTCTCCCTGAAGTGGAATTTTCATGAGAAGCCTTTTTGTAGAAAAGGCTGCAGGCTCGGTTTTCTTTTTTATTTATGTGTGTGTTTGTTGAATTAAGCTCAGTTACCCACCAGGAGCCCTTCTTAGTAGGTAGACCTTCTTTCTCAGGGTCCATACCTGTAATAGGTGGGTCAAGAAATCTCTCAAAATTTATTACACTTAAAGTAGATTTTTCCACACTGGCACTAGTGACATTTGATGCCACCTTGTTCTCCATTCTAGGGAGCCACTCTGGACGTTGTCAGGTGTTAAACAGCATCCGTGGCCCCTACTCCCTCCATGCCTCAGTCATGACAACCACCAATGTCCCCAGATACCACCCGATGTCCCCTGGGGGCAAATCACTCCATTTGAGAACCACTAATTTAGAGCCATAGAATTGGAGGTGCTGAGTGGGCCCTTAGAAGGCCCCAGTTAAAGGCTGGCACCCAGGGTGGTGCTGAAGGAACAATCAGGACTTGGCTGGATCAGGAGGGTCACGTTCACCCAGCTAGATGCCGTCATTGGGGTTCCCAAACCCACCCAAGTGGGACAAAAAGTAAAGGCACTTCCAGGCCGGTGTCCAGGGCGTGTTTTTGGATGAGAGGCCGGGGGGCGGGGCGTGAGGCAGAGAACACCCAAAGCTGAGTGGTTAAAGGGAGGACGGTACTCAGAGAACAGTCAGGGCTTGAAGCAGGTGCGATGTTTGAGCCCCAACTCCCCACATTAGGGCCGTAAAATGCTAGGCGGGTCTCTAAATAAAGGCCCAGGTCTGGGACACCGAGCTGAGCTCAAGCAAAGCCTCCGGATGTGGAGCAGGATGCGAGGATCTCTCTGTCTGGGAGTGGGCCTGGGCGCGGGGAGGGACCCAGCTAGGGTCCTCCGAGGCAGAGCAGTCCGAGGGAAGGCCAGGTTCCGAGTATGGGGCGGGGCTTGATGAGGAGGCGGGACTCCAGGCCAAGCGGGCCAGACGAATAGAAAACGTGGAGGCTTGAGCTTCGAGCAGGGGGCGGAGCCTGCGTCCGGGGGCCGTGGCCCAGCGCAAGCGAAGCGTAGCCCGGGGGCGTCACGCGCCGGAGACCCTGCCCCTTCTCGCCTCTAGCTGGACTGGCGCTCTGCTGAGACCCGAGAATGGCAGCGGGAGGGTCTTACGGCTTCGCTCAGGGTGCCGGCCCACAGTACAGGTAACGACCTCCTCTCTACCCAGCCCCAGGGAGATGACGCCACGAGGACCCGCGGGTCGGCGTCTTTGTCCGAACCCGGCGAGACGCGCGGGCTGCGGCCCTGCTCCGGCTAAGATGGCAGCGGAGCCGCGGAGGTCGCGGCGCCAGGTTGTGTCGATCAAGGGGAGAACTGGGGGCCTCCTGGCGTGGGAGAGGGCCCTGGGCCCGAGGTGGGGATGGACCCAGAGCTATGCTCGGAGCGTTCCTGGCAAGGCAAAAGGTGAAGTAGTACCTTGGCGGAGGCGGGGAGAGAGGAGTGAAGGTGGGGACCTGCCCAGATTGAGAGGAAAGTCCTATCTGGGAGCGAACCTGGCCAGGCAGGGGTATGCGGGGTACCGACCCTTGGAGGTCGGTGTAGGGGAGGGGCGTGAGAGAACCCAGAGACCTGGGAGGCTACTGGAGGGCGAGGCAGAGACTTGGGGAGGGGGATTGAACCTGACTGGGGGGTTGGGCAGAGACTTGGGGAAAGTCCCGAGACCCAGTAGGAGGGTGGCACCTGGGGCTTCTAGGGGATGGGGAATAGTTAGAAGGGGTACAGCTGAGACGGGACGGGTAGAGGGACTTGGAACCTTGCAACTCAATGGAGTAGGTGTTTGGATATTTAAGATGTAGTAAAGGACAGGGACCCAGGTGTTTGGGGGGGGGGAGGGAGAGAAAGGAATCTAGAGAAGAGATGGCAGAGGGTGGGGGCAGGCATAGGAAGCCTCAGGGAAAAGAGGGATCCATGGGTAGAGACACATGGGGTATCTTATACCTCAGATGTACACCCCCCTCCTACACACACACCATTCTTGGAGTATCTCTGCTGTCTCCTTTAGCAGTCAAGAGCAAGTCCCAGGTACAGGTGCAGGACCAGCATCCCTAGGAGGAAGTGTCTCCTCCCCATCATTGTCATTTATCAGCCTTGCGTAAGTTTCCAACTGGTAGCCTGGCAGAACCTCTTGGGCCAGTTTCTCACAGACCCTGAGGAGCCAACCTTGGTGCCAGCCACCCCTTAGGCAGCTGAGAGATGCGTCTGCTGCACTAGAGGCCTTTGCTGCATGTGGTGTTCAGACTCCGTTTCAGCATGTTGCAGATAGATGAGGCTAATGGGAAGTTCCGGCCAGCCCCTCATCCCGGTCCTGATACTGCCGTGTTCTCTCCTGTGGGAACAAGACCAGGGCTTTGTAACAAGGGTTGTGGACGATAGGAGTGCTACCAGTGTTTCCTGCCCTCAGTGTGGTCCCAGAGTGTAGCATTTGTCTAGTAATGGATTTCTTGTCAGGGACAGAATGTATAGCCTGCTGTTTTCTGGAACAGAGTGTTAGGTTTTTATTTTATGCTGCCTTGTTTCCATTGTCCTCAGTGGATTTCTGATTGCCAGTGCTTCAAGAAGCAGGACTTGGCTGGTCTTCTAGTCTTCTAGGCTTTGAGACCACGCACTTTTGGAAATGCTCCACCCTTCTGCCTGCTTGCGGGCTTTTCTTTCTCTTTTTCTTTCTCCAGTGCATTCTTCAGTCATAAGAATCAATGGGAAATTACTTGAATGTTATGCTTTCTATTAAGATTATGTTCCAGAAGAGAAACAGAGCATTTACACTGTTAAGATTGGTACAGACAGGCCTCAGAGGTAGTGCGGGTTTGATTCTACACTGTTGCAATAAAGCAAATATTGCAATAAAGCTAGTCACATGATTTCTTCGGTTTCCCATTGCATATAAAAGTTATGTTTTTACTATGTTATAATCTATTAAGTGTGCAGTAACATTGTATCTAAAAACAATATAAGCCCCAGCTGGTGTGGCTCAGTGGATTGAGCGCTGCTCTGAGAAGCAAAGTCGCCTGTTCCATTCCGAGTCAGGGCATGTGCCTGGGTTGCAGACCAGGTGTCCAACTGGGGGCATGTGAGAGGCAGCTGATCCATGTTTCCCTCCCACATCGATGTTTCTCTCCCTCTTTTTCTCCTTCCCTCTCTCTAAAAAGTAAATAAAATCTTTTAAAACATGTGTAAAAACAATGTACCTGTCTTAATTAAAAATACTTTATTGCTAAAAAATGCTAAAATGGCACTGATAGACTTGCTTAATGCAGGGTTGCCACAGACCTTCAATTTGTAAAATGCAATATCTGGGAAGCACAATAAAAACAAAGTATGCCTGTAATTGCTGGGCTTCGGTAGATGTTTTTGTTAATTTGTCTTACTGAACCTATACATTTTAGTGCAGCTGCTGTCTGTGTTCTGATAACTTAGGTGATACAGTATACACACATGTAACTAACTCTCAAACTGCCATTCACTGAATGTCAAATTAGTCTGGTCTTTACCCTTGACCAGGGGAGCGTGTCTTGTTCTTTAAGAGTAGATTTAACTAGCCCTGGCTGGTGTAGCTCAGTGAATTGAGTGCGGGCCTGGGAACCAGAGTATTGGGGTTCGGTTCCCAGCCAGGGCACATGCCTGGGTTGCAGGCCAGTTCCCAGCAGGGGACACATGGGAGGCAACCATACATTGATTTTAAGTTAACTAGACATTCTCTTTTGAGGGAAGCGTTTCTCATATGATGTGCCATGGAAAAACTGATTAGGTAATGTGGTTTTGAGTACTAACTTTATGGGAGTATTTGGACAACAGTATTTACAAAGCTTGTTTCATGAATTGCCAAAGCAAAGACAACAGTTTGTTTCTTAGAGGACTTTGAGTAGGTTTTCTTGGCTTTTGAAGTTGATAACCATGGCTCTGGATAGGAATATTTCGTACATTGCAATCCTTAAGTCAAAAACCTCTGCCAGAGGCAACGGGTAGCTTGGGAAAGGCACTGGAGCCCACACCGACATTGGGGAGTGCTGGCAGACGTGAGGCTGCCTGTTACACCCTGAATGGGAGCCCCCTGCCCTGTCAGGTGTGGCTGCAACCAGAGTCAGAGTGGTCCTGGTACACGCAGGCCAGCCTCCCTTGCCTGCCACATGCTGCCCCCCCCGCCCCGCCCCGTCTTCAGATGCTTCCAGAGGGAACATCACCTGCCAAGGCCCTTCTGTCCCCTGAGCTTAGGTGGGAGGAGCACATGCTGCTGAGAAGTGTCCTTCTCGGGAGCCAAGTACACACCTCTAAATGGGCTCCCACTGCCTCACCCAAAAGCAGCGTTGCACTAGACGTCCAGGAAGGTTGGGCCTGTGGGAACCTCTAGCCGAGTTTGAAGCGGTCCTGATAAGTAAGCATCTAAGCAGCACCTCATTTTTTCCAGACTGGCAGGAAGTTGACCCTGAAGAGTAAGGCATACAAGTCTTCCTATAAGAATGTGGTTGCAGTTGTTTCTCTAAAGCCCCATCTCAGTGGGGCAAAAATAACATGTTAGGGCTTGAATGAGGGAATTTCTTGGCAGGTAGTTTTGAGTGGCAGCTCTGGACTGCCACTGGAAACTTGGCTTAAGTATATTTTAGTATACTAAGTATATTTTAAGGAAAACCTTTCAGATGACAGAACTATGCTGTCTTAGATCCTATTACAAATAGATTTGATACATTGCAAATGTCTGAAGTTTGGAATTTGAATCTTTTTTTTTTTCTGTTTTAGAACCAAAAGTCAAAGTAACTTCGGAAGATAAGTCAATTCCTAACAGAGATGTCCCCCCCACATACTGTTTCTGAATTTTTAATATTTTGTCTCTATCTACCAGTGTGTGTATTTGGAATTATCAGAACAAATAAATCAAATTTAAAAGTGTTTTCAAATGATTTTAAAAATTATTTTATCACATAGTGTAATTGTTGTTCTTTTGTGTGCCTATAGAGAGAGGTAAGGGGCCAGCGACTGTTGGTCTGGATAAGTGAGTAGTCCTGGAAAAATAAGGAAAGAGTGTAGAAAGGGTATTTGTAAACATGTATTTATTCTCTTTTCATCTTATATTAGTGAATTAAAGTTTGTGAAACCTCAGGTCAGGGATCATGGATGTCCCTGGGAGAGCCGGATCTCTGCATAAATGAATCAGATCTAAGATGGTGGTGTATGGGGTCGGGCGGGGGGGGGGGGGACCAAGACAGCGTGCACCCCCATACGCACGCCCCACCTGCCACTGACGTGGGGTACTGAACCCAGCGTGGGGGGTTTCCCATCTCCCTAGAGAACCCGTATCCCCTTTCTATGTGAAATTCTCCAAGTCTTAAGTACCAGCACCAAATTCAGACTGTAGATCAAATTATGCCTGCCTCTGCTTTATGATTTCTGCTTCATGTTTTTAGAAGTTTAGTTATGAAAGAATACTGCACAAGATATTATAGATGCATTTGATAATTAAAAGGTATAGTACATATCCCAGCTAGGTCAAGGAGCCCTCCATTTTGACTGGCTTTAGTCGATTAAAGTAGTTTTGAGGACCCGGACCTGCATGGCTCATTTCGTTGAGCATCGTCCTGAAAAGCGGAAGGTCTCTGGTTGGATTCCCTGTCAGGGCACACGCCTGGGTTGTGGGCTTAGTCCCAGTTGGGGCACGTCCGAGAAGCAGCCAATCGATGTTTCCCTCCCTCTTTTTCTCCCCTCCTTTCCCCATTCTCTAAAAATGAATAACATATTTTTTAAAGAGATGTTTTTCTTTATTGTGTTAATACCAGCTTCTTTTGTATCAGTACGACAGCTTAATCATCAAAACTAAGTAATGTTGCCTAATTCAGAACAAAATTAGGAAGCTTTGACAAATCACAGAGTGTTTTTGCTTCTTTCTTTCTGCGTGTGTTTTTCTTTGTTTATGAGATCTCACATTTAAAGTGTGCAGTTTACTCATAGAGTATGTAGAATCTTGGTAGGAAAAGGTTTGGGCACCACCCAAGGTTTCATTTCTTGTTGTGTCTCTTTTACCAAGATATTGGCCAGAAATTCTCTGCCTATTCTTTTCTGTTGGACTTGTGTTATATGTTAGTTAAGGTTGCTGGGTTTCTTTTAGCTGGAAACTTCATTTGTAAATATTTTGGGGAACTGGACTTCTTTTTTTTTG